AAGTTGACGTGGTGGACAACCCCATGCTCTGACATGATTCCTACTAACCACCTTTTCGACCACTCCGCTACGCTACCACGAATGTTGTCTCCCCCTATTCCCACCTCCCCTTCTCCCCTCGCCCCACTTATTCGGCAAGCTACCATGCTGTAGAGTGGGCCTAAAACGTGATGCGAAAAACCCCCAAAGTTTCACTAGATAGCCGAGTAATGAATTACTGAAAACCCAAGCTGAGCGTTGCAAAGTACGCACAGTGGTCCATCTCGCCACAAATTGCCGGACTGATCCGCTAACGTTCCCCTCTAGTCCGACGCGAAAAAGTGATCTTTGCGAGGGCCATTGCTTAAAAATCCTCCTTGGAACGGTTAACACAATATGTCAAATGTGGTTCGCGATTTGTAGAGGACTGTGAAAATGCTTCATTGAACAATTAACAGCATTAGAGGAAATCACAATGAGCAAATTCCTCAATGGAGCAATTGTCGTACCTCTGATAGAACTGCAATACGATCACCGAGGATATCAGCCTCGTCCATGAAATGTGTAGCGAGGATTACAGTATGATTTTCCTTGTACTTCAATATAAGATCCCAGATAGCACGTCTAGCGAACGGATCGATACCAGCTGTTGGCTCATCAAGAATCACGATTTTCGAACCTACGAATGAAGAATTCCGAAAAAAAAGTGGTGAACAAGTGCTGCATAATGCAAAATCGTTTTCCAGCTTCAGGTGCCTGCACGAAATATTGTGTCAAAGTAAACGGTATTTTCCGACAGCTATTTTCATTCTGATCTGCGCACGATTTTAGTCAATATTATAATTATTCTGATTGAATTCAATTGCTCTCGATGACTGCCCCCGCCTATCTCTCAAAAGGATTAGTCGGTTCACTTCTCCCAGAGTTTGGTAACTGAAGACCGAGAAGGTCGAAGATTTGATTACCTTCCCGAGATGGCCATGATTGTGGAGTTGCTCCTTTCGAGAGCCCTTTTTTCGCATTCCACCTTGGGGAAAGGGGGAGCAGTCGTGCACTTTCGTTAGCCCACTAGTTTTGCTTCACAAGTCCCACTCTGACGAGACCTGTGTACTCTTGTGAGCTATTCAAACA